GTCAGGCAGGAAGCAGAAAATATCAGATTTAGATTCCACATTCCATGCATGGTATACAATTATCCGCTGGAGCCACACAGGGGCACGTGGGACCCACAGAGGCAGAAAACGGGATTGCTCTTGAGGACGGGGTCACTCCTGCATGGGGAACCAGCAGTATTCTTGGCAGGCGCCAGGTGCGCTAAGTCCCCTGCAGTGCACCCTCAGGGACCCCGGAGCCAGGGGTGAGGCTCATGTGCCTGCAAGACCTGGGTCACATGCCTGTTGCCAGCTCCAGCAGTGACTCCGAGCCCCAACCTGTACTTGCCTGGCAGCTAAGTGCTTCTCTACACCCTCCTGGGCTGTCTTGTCCACAGGCGCTCGCCAGCGGCTCAGCCTTCCTCTCAGCTTCAACAGCTTCATAACCCACGCCTCAGGGTCTCTGGCCCTGGCCTGCCTTCTGAGGTCCAGGGCTATAGTCACCTTGACGTCCCCAGGCCCTCAGACACCACTCATCATCCCACCCAAAATGTGTCCTTCCTCCTGGTGTCCTGTCCCAGTGAATGGACCACCGTGCAGCCGTTCACAGGAGCCCAACAACAGCAGCATCTCAACTCCTCCCACCCACATTCACCTGATTCCCGTCTTGGCCAGTTCCACCTCCTAAGCTTCTCTCTCGCCAGGCCCTTTTCTCCCACTGAGCGGCCCTCACCCTGTTTCGTGCCACATTGTCCCAGGCTGGATTGTTCTGCAGTTCTGCTCACCTTCAGCCTCCAGCATCATACACTCCAAACCCATGTGTGCAGCAGAGCTGGTCGGGCCACTCCTACGTTCACAGCCCTGTGCTGGCCTCCAGTTGGCCTCAGGGTCAGCATGAATCCCTCGACGTGGTGCACATGGCTCTCCGTGCCCTGGCTCCTGCCCGTCCTCCACTCCCCCAACCCCGTTCCCTTAATTCTGTTTCTTCTTGTCTCCAGAACGTCATAGATGATATACCTTCGACTCTGTCCTATTCCTTATTTCTTCAGGTTTACCTTGGGCTTTGGCTCCTTTAGAATGCCTTCTCTGACCCCCAACCCACCCCAAGAACAAGGGCAAAGACGCTCATTGAGGGCAGCCACCGTGCCTTATTCACTGTATTCTTAGTGCCCAGCACATCGTGTTTGGTCCCTCAGCATCTGTGCAGTGGCCACTGCCTGACCTGCCGGCCCCTCTCAGGCGCTGCACTGCGCTCTGCTCCTTGGCTACCAATCCCTACTCCTCCTTGCTGTGTTCAGAGTTAAGCCTGGTCCCTCTCCCCATTGGGATAGTCTTGACCCTGTTGCAGTAGTCGTGAATAAAGTCTCCTTACCGGTTTAACAGGCATCAGAACATTTCTTTAGCAAGGGAGAAGAAAGACACACAGAGTTCTCAGAAACTTTTGTTGGGAAAGCCCTGTTGGCCTCTTTACAGAAAGCCACTGGAAGGCCTCCGGGGTCAGGCTGCTGTTTCTTTGGCTCACTCCCCACAGAGGGCTCAAATTTATCTTGCTTGCAGGGTTCTGTTACCTCGTTCAACCTTCCTAGCATCTCTCTCAGCATCCCTGGGGCCGAGAGTAGCGCTGGGTTACTTCCGCAACACTCTCCCCAACGAAGGAGAACCAAATAATATACCGTCTGATTCGGGACACTCTGGGCACTCCTAAGAGTGAAAGCGGGTGCTGTCACTAGAAACGCCGGGACAACAGGCCCGAAGCGGGACTTGCACCCCTCCCGCCCGGCCGGATGGCTCTGGACATTGGGTCACGGGGATCACGGCGTTGTGCTCAGCTCGGCCGGGGCCTCCAGCAGCGGCGAGCCCGCGCAGGGCCTCAGCTTATGGTCGGTTACCGGCCAGAGTTCCAGAAAGGCGTGGAAATGCCCGGCCACCTCCGGCCGAG